ATTTGTCTCTTCACTGTCCAAGGAACTGGGATATTGCAGATAACTGAGTTTCTGTCTACCGTACAGATCGACACATACTTTGAAAAAGACCTGACACAAAGTTTGGCAGTCTACAGGCAGTCCGGTCCTGGAGAGAACCAGACCATTAAAGAGGATTTTGATGCCGTCCAGCACTTGGTAATCATCTCTTCACTCAAATAAAACTTGAAGGCATCTTGTTGACTCCATGTTCTTATTCTGAACAGATATTGTTGAAATATTGACTAACATGTTACCTCTGCCCAATTCAACGGTGTTGCTCAGCATTTGAGTTTGACTTTTTTTTTCCCCTCTGATCAGTTTAGGTGTTGTGGAGTTCGCGGTGAGGCAGACTGGATGGGTAAAGTTCCCATCTCCTGTTGTGTCCAGGATCCCTGCACCTCCCCCATCAAGATCTACTGGCAAGAGGTTACCCACTCTCAAACAGATTTTAAAATATCACAGTGTCATTTCCTTCTGCATGACACATACACATTAACAATTGACCTCGGGTGTAGACTGGACTACTTTGGTACCCTGGTGAAAATCCTCAGGATGAAGTCACTTTATGTCAAACATCGGCTCTTCAATTTAAACCCAAAATGGGATATTATGTGAATCATTCCGTAAGACACCGTTGCCCTGTGGCGGACTTCCCGCAGAAGGATGCGATACATACATTAAGTGGCTCTCTGCTAGGATATCAAATGCTGGGTCACGCACGATACAGAGAGTGCCAAGGGAGACCTTGATGAGACTCCAAATGAATTTATATTCGTTCTCAGATTTTGACATTATGATTCTTTACTTGGGCTAACCCAGCCGCTGGGGGGCAGTGCCCTCCCCTGGGGGTGCACTGTTCCCCAGTGCCGGTCCCAAGCCCGGCGAAATGGGGAGGGTTGCGTCAGGCATGGGATACGGCGGAAAACTTTTGCAAAGAACACCATGCGAGATGGCAGGAGACGACCATGCGAGTTGGTGGGACGGTTTACAGGGGCGGATGGAAATTACTGACTCGCTGTGGCGACCCCTGAATAGGGATGTGCCGAAAGGAGAAGAAGAAGAAGAAGAAGAAGATTCTTTACTTGGGCTGGTTGTGTACACCCTCAAACGTAAACACCAAGACCTACTGTGAATAGCAAGAAAATAAAATGAATTGACTTCCTCCCTGGAAGTGTTTATATTTGCCTGTATCTATAGTTTAAAAACTAAATATGTCATAAACTATGATCCCAATCACAACATCATTTCAACTTCATGTATCATAAACATACTTCCATGATACAATTACCGGTACCTCTTTCCTATTAGCCAAGGCTTTGATGCACTCTTGTGTTTTAAGA